TTACGAATTGGGCTGCAAACCTCAAGGTCAGCAGTTCGAAACTACCAGCTGTTCCGTGGGAGAAAGATGAGGTTTTCTGCTCTCGTAAAGATTTGGAGCCTTGGAAACCCACGGCACATAACAACAACAACATGGCTTTCAGGTCACTGAACTGAACAATGAGAGTGGTCGGTGGAGTGGTGTGTCATTAAGTCGGTTCCAACTCTTAGCGACCCTATATAGGGTTTCCGAGGTTGCAAATCTTTACAGGACCAGAAGGCCTCATCTTTCTCCCACGATGTATATCATTCAGCAAGTTGGAGACCACTTCAGAGATCACGAGGCCCTTACGGATCCCTGTCTTGGGGAAGGAGAGTGGACACCCCAGGACAGGGGTAACTACTTGGTTTTATCATCCCTCAGATGTATGCTTTCCACATCCACTCAGCCTCAGAGAGCCTCATCCAATCAGAAGACACTCCATGCCAGGGAACGCCAGTGAACCTGATGTTGCAATATCTTTGGTGGTCATTAACCAGCTGGGTTTTGGACTGGGAAGACAGAGGTGGGGCAGCACTGTGAAAATCTCCCAACCATTTCCAAGACAAACTTGTTTACATTCACTTTAATTATAACAATAAATATTCACCATGCTGGTTTGAGAAAACAAGCTAGATCAATACAGATTCTTTGGATCCAAGCAGTAGAAAGTGATGGAGCTATTTTAATTTTTAAAAAGTGGTCAAGCACTGAAGGAAAAGTTGATGCACCAGAGATCAGAGATGACAGGAAGTAGGGTAGATCTACCACTCAGACCAGAAAGAGGTAGGCACTGTCCCTGAAAAGCATTCCACGAATTCTTCCCTCCAAGCCATCCCTTGACAGAAAGTTCATCTCAGGAGAGAGTCCAGTGACCAACTTGCTCTGTGTCCACTCTGTGGTAAGGACAATGCGGGGCACCTGAACCAGCAGTATCTTTGTTTCCTAGGGCTGCCACAGAAAATTCTACCAAGTGATTATCGTTAAAGAACAGAAGTCTGTTTTCTCACACGTCTGGAAACTTTGAATTCAGGGAGTAGGCAGGGCTGTGCTCTCTTTCCATTGATGCTAGAGAAAGATCTGCCCTTGTCTCCTCTAGTTTGTGGTGTCCTTACTGTTAAGAGTGATTGATGAGTTTGAACCACCAACCTTGAGGTTAACAGTCCATTACTTATCCTACAGCACCACACCAGGACTCCAGTTTGTGGTAGGCTCTGGGCTTTCCTTGGTGGGTAGATGGAGTCATATATTCCTGTATGTGATACTGTTTCCACATCTGTCTTTCTCTTTTATAAATGCCAGTCAAAAGGAATTCGGATTAGGGCCCATTCTACTCTGATAGATGTTGTTAACTTAATTTATTGTTGTTGTTGTTGTTATGTGCCGTGGAGTCGGAACCGACTCATAGCGACCCTGTACAGGGTTTCCGAGGGTGTAAATCTTTACTTAATTTATAACATCTGCAAAAAAAAGTTTTTTAAACCAAACCTTATTTCCCCAAACAAGGTCATATTCACTGGTACAGGAGCTAGGGCTGCAACATAATTTTAATGTTGTTGTTGGGTGCCATTGAGTTGGTTCCTATTCATAATGACCCTGCGTACAACAGAACAGAACGTAACACTGCTCAGTCCTGGGCCATCCTCACAATTGTTATGTTTGAGTCTATTGCTGCTGTCACTATATCAATCCATCTTGTTGAGGGTCTTCCTTCTTTTTATTTTTTGACCCTCTTACTTTATCAAGCATGACATCCTCTTCCAGGGGACTGGTCCCTCCTGACTGTATGCACAAAGTATGTAAGACTAAATCTCACCATCATGCTGCTAAGAAACATTCTGGTTGAACTTCTTCCAAGACAGATTTGTTTGTTTTTCTGGCAGGCCATTGTTGTTGTTGTTATGTGCCGTGGAGTCGGTTCCGACTCATAGAGACCCTGAACAGGGTTTCCGAGGCTGTAAATCGTTAAGGGAGCAGAAAGCCTCATCTTTCTCCCGCGGGACAGCTGGTAGTTTCGAACTGCTGACCTTGTGGTTCGCAGCCCGATCTGTAACCCACTACGCTACCAGTACTTTCAATATTATTCTCCAACACCATAATTCAAAAGCATCAATTCTTCTCTGGTCTGCCTTAATGTCTAGTTTTCACATGCATATGAGGCAATTGAAAATAGCATGGCTTGGGTCAGGCACACGGTAGCCCTCAAAGTGACATCACTACTCTTTAATACTTTCAAGGGGTCTTTTGTAGCAGATTTGCCCAATGCAATACGTTGTTTTATTTCTTGACTGCTGCATCCATGAACTTGCAGATCTGAATAAAGTGAAATCCTTTTTTTTCTGTTTATCTTGATGTTGTCTGCTGATCGAGTTGTAAAGATGTTTATTTTCTTTATATTGAATTATAATCCATACTAAAACTGTACTTTTGATCTTCCCTCAGTAAATTCTTCAAGCCTTCTTTGCTGTCAGCAAGCAAGGTTGTATCATCTGTATATTGCAGGTTGTTAATGATCCTGATACCACGTTCTTCTTCATATAATCCAGTTTCTTGGATTTATTTATTTGGTATACAGATTAAGTATGGTGAAAGGATACAACCCTGGCACACACATTTCCTGAACTTATCCATTCAGTATCCCCTTGTTCTGTTCAAATGACTACCTCTTGGTCTATGTACAGGTTTCTCATGAGCACAATTAAGTGTTCTGGAATTCTCATTCTTTGCAATACGATCTATAGTTTGTTATGATTGACACAGACTAATGCATTTGTATAGTCAATAAAATACAAGTAAGTATTCGACTCAATGGCACTTAACAACAACTCAACAATCTTCCTGGTACTCGCTTTCAGATCTTTCAACTAAAGATCCATCTGACATCAGCAAAGATATCCCTTGTTCCATGTCCTCTTCTGAATCTGACTTGAATTTCTGGCAGCTCCCTGACTGCGTGTCACTGCAAACATTTCAAAACGATCTTCGGCAAAATTTTACGTGCGTTTAACACTAATGCTATTTTTTTCCGGTAATTTCTGAGTTCTGATAGGTCAGAATTTCTCTGGAATGGATACGAATATGTTTGAGTCTCTACTAGTCAGTTGGCTAGGTAGCGGTCTTCCAGATTTCTTTGCATAAACTAGTGAGCGCCTCCAGTGCTTTCATCGATTTGTTGAAACATTTCAATTGGTATTCTGTCGATTCCTGGAGCCGATTCTTTGCTAATGCCTTCAGTACGGCTTGGAATTCTTCCTTCAATACCACCAGTTCTTGATCATAAGCTAGCTCTTGAAATGATTGAATGTTGACCAACTTATTTTGACACCGTGGCTCTGTGTATTCTTTCCATCTTCTTTTGATGATTCCTACATCAATATTCTGCCCACAGAATCCTTCAATATTGTAACTCAAGGTGTAAATTTTTTCTTCTGTTCTTTCAGCTTAAGAAATGCTGAATATGTTCTTCCCCTTTGGTTTTCTAACTCCAGGTCTCTGCACATTTTATTATAATACTTTACTGTGTCTTCTCGAGCTACCGTTGAGAAATCTTTTTGTTCAGTTCTTTTACTTCCTCATTCTTTCCATTTGCTTTAGCTATTATACACTCAAGAGTTAAGTTTTAGAGTCTCTTCTGGCATCCATTTTTGTCTTTTCTTTCCTTCAGGTATTTTTAATGACCATTTGCTTTCTTCATGTATGATAGTCTTGATGTCATCACTCTACTGTCTGGTCTTGGATCGTTAGTGTTCAGTGAGTCACATCTATTCTTGAAATGGTCTCTAGATTCAGATGTGATACACTCAAGTCATACTTTGTCTCTTGTGGTCTTGCTCTAATTTTAACTTCAACCTCAACTTGGATATGAGCAGTTGAGGGTCTGTTCCACAGTAGGCCCCTGGCCTTATTTTGACTGATGATTTTGACTGATGATACTGAGCTACTCCATTGTCTCTTTCCACAGATATAACTTTCTGTGTATTCTGTCTGGCAAGGTCCATGCGTATGGTGGTGGTGGTGGTGGTGGTGTGCCGTGGAGTCGGTTCCGACTCATAGCGACCCCACAAAGGGTTTCCGAGGCTGTAAATCTTTACGGGAGCAGAAAGCCTCATCTTTCTCCCTTGGAACAGCTGGTAGTTTCAAACTGTTACCTTGAGGTTTGCAGCCCGACTCATAACCACTACACTACCAGAGCTCCTTGTTGTTGTTGTTGTTAAGTGCCATCGAGTCGGTTCTGACCCATAGCGACCCTGGTACAGGGTTTCCGGGGGTGTTAAATCTTTACGGGAGTAGAAAGCCTCATCTTTCTCCCGCGGAGCGGCTGGTAGTTTCGAACCGCTGACCTTAAGGCTCGCAGCCCGATTTGTAACCACTATGCTACCAGAGCTCCTTAGTCACCCTTTATGTCTTTTGTTTGTTTTTTTAAAGGTATTTTCAGTAAATAAGTCATTCATCCTGCAAAATCCTACCATGGTTGATCCTGCTACTATTTGAAATACCAGGGGCATAGCTTCCAGCCTAACAGCAACACACAAGCCCACCACAGTATGGCAAACTGACAGATAAATGGTGGCTCGCTTCTGCAGTGAGCAAGAAGACCAGCTGGGCAGGCAAACCCCTGGGCATTGACCTCCACAGGTGTAGCCGATGACCTCACAATCTGATGAGTGAAAGGAAATCCCCAAACTTGGGGTGCTGCTTGTCCTAGGAGTACCCCCATTATGACCAGGACTGCAGTTGTCCTGGGTGATCTCTCTAAATTACTATTACTTTCAGCTCTTCCCATTTTCCCATAACCTTTAGAGTCCTCCCACCCTACAGTCAAGGTAAAGTAAGATGTTTGTTTCTTGTTATGCAAAACAGCAGTGTTTCAAGAGCACAAAGGTGATTGTTATTTTGCCAAACAGAGGCAAGGTGACAAGCATTTTTAGGACTTAGGGATGGAAGGGAATTAGACATGGGATGGGAGGGGAGCTTAAGTCCCCATGACGCCAACCAATGGTGTGCACCTGTGCACTGAGCCCGTGATTTTAATGACGGCAGGTGCACAACATTCAACCAGGGGCCTTGAGCCTCTTAGACGCTGATAGTGCTTCAAATAGGTTTCATTTGGGTTCAGACCCCTTGCTGAGAATTTGCATTTTCACCTTCCATTGTTAATAAGGTCCCCAGGTGATTCATATAGATTCCCAGGTGTAGCTCTAAAATTACCTAGGAATCTTGTTAAAATACAAGTTAGTATATCTGGGGTGGAATTGCAAATTCTCAGCAGGGGAACATACTAGAAGGAACTGGTTTGAAACTCTGGACTGAGACTGGAACTATCAGCACACCAAGGGATTCTTAGTCAAGTTCTTGCCGCCATTAAAAAGCCATCAGTGAGGTCTAGGTAGTCAGTGTGTAAGAAACTATTCATGTGATGAAAAACATGTGAAACTGTTCACTAATGGATAACACTGTAAAGAAAGGGTATCCCAGAACATATCATTGTACTCATGTGGAACCTGTATATAGAGCAAGAGGCAGTCTTTAAGACAGAACAAGGGGACACTGAATGGTTTAAAATCAAGAAGGTTGTGTGCCAGGTTTGTATTCTTTCACCATATTTATTCCATCTGTATGGCAAGCAAATAATCTGAGAACTGGATTACATGAAGAAGAATGTGGCATCAGTGTTGGAGGAAGACTCATTCATAATCTGTGATATGCAGATGATACAACCTTGTTTGCTGGAAATGAAGAGAACTTTAGTATGAACTGCACCTCAATGTAAAGAAAGCGGAAATCCTCACAACTGGACCAACAAATAACATCATGATAAACGGAGAAAAGACTGACGTTGTCCCAAGACTTCATTTTGCTTGGATCCACAAGCAACACTCAATGGAAGCAGCAGTCAAGAAATCAAACGGTGATGTATATTATTCAAATCTCCTGCATAAGACCTCTAGGAAATGTTCTAAGGGCCCTGTGGGTCTGACCTTTTTGATGAAGATGCTATAGGGTACAGGTAAGGACTCCAAACTTGGAATCTACAACACAGGAGAACAATATATGTCCTGTCAACCTGATCATAAGTTAAAACACACTTTACATATCATGAATCAGTCTGGGAATGCTGGCTATAACAAATGACCCCAAAAAAGTCAGTGTTCTTAACACAACAAATAAATCTTATTTCTTACTCACATCACAGTTCAATCTGGGGTCCAAACAATCACTCAAGAACTGGGGGCTTCTTCTTTCTTGTGGCACCATCAACTTCAATATGTGTCCTCCAAGGAGTCGTGGTGTTGCGCTGTGAGTTAATGCACTGGACCGCAAGGTCAGCAGTTCAAGCTCACCAGCCATTCCTCGGAAACCCTATACAGGGTCGCTACGAGTCAGAACAAAGTTGGCAGCAGTTAGCAACAAGCACTTGACCACAAGGTTGGTTTGAACCACAAGGTCAGTGGTTCAAATTCCCAAGCCGCTCCTTAGAAACCCTATACAGGGTTGCTGTGGGTCAACAGCAACTACAAGGTCACCAGAGAATGGAATAAAGGCTGGAGGGCAGAGCAGAAGATTTATGACCAGGCCTAGAAGCAGCATGCATCACTTCTACCCACATTCCATTGGTCGGAACTCAGTCACATGGCTCCTAACTGCAAGGAAGTCTGGGAAATGCAGTTTTCCTGCCTACCTCAGAAATTGGTCTCATGAACCCAGAGCATTGTCTTGCTACACCCAAGCAAGACTTTCAAGTGCAAATACCTTTCAAGTGCTATTAAATTTTGTTGTTCTTGTTGTTAAGTGCTTTTGTTGTTGTTTTGTTGGAAGCAGTTCTACTCATAAAAACCCAGTATAGGGTTTCCAAGCAGTGACCCGTGGGTTTGAACCACTGACCTATGGTTAGCAGTCCAGTGCTTATCCTTCAGTGCTACATTAATACATAGTAGTAATATCCCACATCCTTGGATGGAAGAAGGGATAATAATAATGAATGCTATTTATTTATTGTTTGTTCTGAGTCAACAAGATGTCAGACATTCATATCTTGAAGCATAAGAAATTTCTTTCTTTTAATCAAATCAAACCCAGCTTCAAGAGCTCAGTTTCCAATTTCAGTACAAAATCCAGCACATCATTCTTTGAGCTGCCACCACTGGTAATCTGTGTCTTTGTCATAACCTTTTTGCCCTCACAATCTAGGGGAGCCCAACACCCTTCCCTTGAGTTGGGCCACTCCCCTCTTGAAGTAGCAGCCTTCTTTTGCATCCCCTTTTGAATAATCCAGTTTGTTGTCTCTATGAGCTAGACCAGGGATCTCAAACTCAAGTGCTTCCAAAGACCAGGTTGTTGTTGTTAACTGCTAGGTAGATGATGAAAATGGACAAAATAAGAAGACTTGGAAATATTAAGAACTAGGGAAGCGGTGCTCCATCCCAAAGGGGCAGCTGTCCCCAGCCTCTGTGGTAGTGGTGGTTGTTATGTGCTGTGGAGTCAGTTTCGACTCATAGTGACCCTGTACAGGCTTTCCGTGGCTGTAAATCTTTACAGGAGCAGAAAGCCTCATCGTTCTCCCGTGGAACAGCTGGTAGTTTCGAACTGCTGACCTTGCTGTTCGCAGCCCAATTCGTAACCACTACGCTACCAGAGCTCCTTTGGATGGTTACATATAAGAAGAATGCGGGCCCAATGTTAACAGCTTCTCAGATTTCCAAGACATGCCAGAAACACAAATTTTTATGCAAAATATCCTGATTTTTAAATGTTGGCAGCTAATTTGATTTTTTTTTTCTTTCTTTCAAGACACTATGCAAGCCCCAAGAAAACATGTCTGTAATCCAGATGTGAACCACAGACGTTTCAAAACAAAGCTTATTTAGAGTTGTCTACCAGGGCTATGGGCAACTTCTCTATTTTTCTCTGAAACTTAAAAACGTAACTCCTTTTGCAAAACAGAGGAACCCAGGACTCCGAACACAAAGCCTTGGCTGTCCTTCCAGTAAATGGAAAGGCGGAGAATCACAGTTTGAAGTCTTACTTTGCAGTCCACCATGGAGGAAAGAAAGGAAGGGAGGAATAAGAAAGGGAGAAAAGGAACAAGAAGGGAGAGGGAAAAAAAAAGAAAGACAAGAAGGAAGAAGAAAAGGTGGGAGGGAGAAAAGAAAAAAAGCAACAGGCCAGCAAAGATGAAACCAATTGAGTTTTAAGCAACTCATTCCACATCAGCGCATTAAATCTTCCTGCAAGATGGAGTGAGATAGAGAGAAGGACAGACTACAATCAGCCTTCTTCATGCCAGGCTATTTCCTTGCTCTTGTGGGGAGAAGCAGTACTGCCCACTGGAATAGTCAGGTGGGCAGATGTGGGCTGTAATATTCTGTCCACTTCAGCCTGGAGGAGAGTCAGGGTCAGGTCTTGATGTGATTCAGGGGGTAAGCAAGAGTCCGAGGAAAGGATTCAGAGATGTCAGTACCCCTGGAAGCCACCCAGGGCATGGAGGATACCTTGGCCTGAGGAAATGTTGACCTCTGGGCTACAACCTATTGACTTTTTATTTATAATCTCTATCATATCCACTTCCAAAGGAATCTGAGGCAATTAAAATATTCATTAAGAACATCAGTGGGATGAGCTTGTCTTAGAGGCTGGGCCCTGACTTGCCTGTGAGCTTCCTGACAGCCAAGGCAAAAGGGAACACCTGAGCCATGCGGTTTGCATTGTCTACTAAGTAAGACACACTTATAAAGACAAACACTTGTTTGGAACTCTTTGAAAAGAGGAATTGATTGCATGGGATGTGGTTCCCATGTTAGTCCAGATCCTCCCAGAAGCAGACATCACAATGAGATTAAAGATACAAGGATTGATTGGGTGTGACAGAAAACGGAGAGGAAGCTGGTAAAGGCTGGGCGAGCTGTCAGACTCTAATAGGGAAGAAAGGGAAGAAGGGTTGAGTCGAAGTGTCTTAGAATGATGGGTAGTTGGAGAAAGGCTCAGCAGGGCAGTTGAGGCTTCAGAGAAGAGCAAAGCTGATCATTAGAGAAGACTTGCATCTCCAAAGAAAGGTCCTGCTTTAGAATCCTACTGCACTCCAGCACTAGCTGGGAAGTGTGTCCTTGGCACCAAAGGCTGGAAACCTTGACCAATTAAATTCTCTGTAGTTGGAGGTTCTACCCCCTCTGTCAGTTTGTTGTGTTGTGGTGGCTTGTGGGTTGCTTTGATGCTGGAAACTATGCCACTGGTATTTCAAATACTAGCAGGGTCATTCATGGTAGACAGGTTTCAATGGCGCTTGCAGACTATAATAAAGACAGTACGAAGAAAAGCCAGGTGTTCTACTTCTAAAACATAGCCAATGGAAACCCTCTGGGTCACAGCAGGATAGTGTCTGGTTGTTGTACTGGAAGATGAGACCCTGAGGCTGGAAGGCACCACAATGGCCCCAACAAGGGACTCGCGCATTTTGACAATCATAATGAGTAGTTGTACAGGACTGAGCATGTTACACAGAATCACTATGAGTCAGAGCCGATTTGATGGCAACTAACAACAAAGTTGGAGGTCACTGAGGCACATTCTCTGAGCTACTCCACTTTCCTAACTTCATTTATTCTTGCATTACCTTCCTGGTTTTGGTGTCCTGCTGTTTCACTGATGGCTTTCTTTACATTGACTTTAACTTCCTTTTTAAGTTTTAGCTTCATTCTCAGTAATGACCATGCCATCATAGGTTAAGGGACAGTTTCATCCTCCTCTCGCCCCACCCCACTACTGCCATCAAGTCAACTGCAAACCATAG